TATCTGTGAAGAACATAGAAAAACATGGAACTGGAGTACATGTGAACATTATTGGACCACCTGCGGCGATCAGGAACGTTACTGTGTCAATGAGAGTTCCTGTGCTGATCCGGGGCCAACTGCGCGCGTCAGAAGGCCTCCCGTGTCAGGGAGGGGAACAATGTGTTACAATATATCTCTCTAATGGCGTCCAGATCGACCAAGAGGTTCGCTGCGTGTCGCCAGAAAAACAGCCAGGGGACACGTCGCGATGGGACGGAATGGCCATTCAGCCCTTGACCGGAAACGGTAATGTGCCGCTGGTGTTCTCTTCAAGGGAACCATTGCCCGGAAGGAAATAAGGGGTCTCATTAATGTTGGGTAGAGTAGGGGTCTCAGTATTGTTAAATATGGTGGGCCGAAATGAATCAAAAAAGAAAAACGAATAACGCGATCCTGTGTTTCCCTGAGAACGTTAATTTTATCAGAATGGATTAATGAAACAAATTAAATCAAAAGGTTTGAGCATGCCCGCCCGCAACCTCGAGAACAAGGACAACGACGGCCTGAGTCAGCTTCCGTAAAGCCGAACGGCGTTGGCCACCACACGTGCCACCAGATGGCGGGCGCCGTGCTTTCTGTCTTTTGGACAAATCGGTGGATACAGAAGCGCGAAAAAATCTACCTTTTCTCTTGCAGTTCCACCACCAGATTCCAGCACCACTTCGACGTTTGAAGGGCCAATCCATCCTTATCATGCGTGATATATGCGCCCGAACTGTCTAAGATTTGATGTCCTAAAGCGTTCAAGGGTATTTCTTTTATAGGCATCATCACTTTCGCTACACGTGGGCCACGGTTTAATATTAGCTGCTGGGCCGACGCCGCGAGGCCAACGGCGTCCGCAACCTTCGGCGTTCAGGTTTTTGTGACTAAGATTTACGAGTGCTACGTCACACATCTTGCATCGCCAATCGGTGCAAGTGTGTAACGGCAATTATTTCCGAAGCATCATCATTGTCGTCCTCTGGTGGGTCACGGGTCAAAGTAAGCCATTGGACGACTATGAAGACTGCAATGCCCGACGTCGAGGTTTTTGCTACTACGATTTGCGAGCGCGCATGTTAAAAAAACACGTTACATAAATTGCATCCTTAATCGATTCCGACTGAATGTTGAACATTTTCAGACAAGCAAGGCTCGGCCATGTTAATACACATTGCTGGCCACCAGATCTACAATTAAATCCTCATCTTCCAAGTTAGATCAGACATATTGATCTACAATCTGCCTTCGCGATGTCCTTAATGTCTGTAGAACCCAGATGGAAAATTCTGACACACATAGGGCAGAAGGGCAGATGGCGGGCGCCGTGCTTTTCTTAGCTTCTGATATCTATCGGTTTCGAAATGATCCACTAAACCATTGAAAGTTAAGAACGCCGGTGATTTCATCCGTGCGGTCCTTCAACGCCTGATTTCTGCAGTATATTGACTTCAAATACAAACAGAATTGATCTCACGGTAGCTTCTGGTTTCTTTTCTGGTTACAAGGCACAAGTAACGATAACACGAAGAAAGGCGTGTCCCTTGTTACCAAGTAGGCTATATCCGGGTAATTTTAGGAGGGGAAGGAAGTTACCATAAGAGGGGCTTTTGTAAACTCTGTGTCCCCCCCCCCCTTGGCAAGACTCAGGCCATGCCCCTGCCTGCGGTCAAAAACAGATTAAGTCGCCTACATTGAATGATGGGCAATTGGATATCCGTTGGGCCAATTCATGCCTAAGGCAGGCAGACTCCCGGAGGCCTTTTTCTCGGGTGGTGTGGTGTAAGGGAAATAAATAGGGAAAACATAACGTTGCAGGTGTCAAACATATGTTTTACACACCGACTAGTAATAATGCTGACCCATAAATATGCAGCAAAGCGGCCGTACGATTCGTTCGCAACCAGTCATGCGGGAGACGGCCGTGCCAGGGCAATGGCCGCCGACGGCAGACGGGAGCAGCACCCAGATAAGGAATACATGGCAGAAGAGCCTTCATTCTGTGGCTTGGTTTTGAAAGGAGAACCTCACGTTTTATGGCTTTCGCCACATTGTTTTGGTAGTTTCAAGCTTCCAAATTTCTTTCCGCCTAAAATGCTGCGACAAGTCTCATCTTTTGAAAAGCAGGCAGCGATATGGAGGCGCATGCAAAATCTGTCGCACCACGAGCCATCGATTTACTTTCAAAATTCTCACCAACCAATGTCCAGGCCGTATTTTGGCATCTATCCTGTGGAGGCAGATGCCTCCTCAGTGACCCAAAATGCCTACCCACTCGTGGAATTTCGCCTCCCCAGGAAAGACAACGTTGAAATGTTGAAATTACGAATAATCTTGTGAAGCTGGATGTCCTCATTTGCCAAATGACACAGACAAGTCGAATAGGCAAGATTGCGCAACAGTGAGAAACAGCTCTAGATGTATATCTAACATAGCAGCCATGCCATTTGAATAAAGAGCGATAACAACCTCCATCCCTACCCCCCCCCCTCCCCCCAGTCATCGGGCTTGCTTTCCAGAAAATAAATTACTGAAGTACTCCTTGAGCTTCCCCCCCCCCCACACTTTTTGAAACGTTCTTACGCCTGCGGTTCGTATCTCTTTCATTAGTGAAATCCGGGATTGGTCCATTCGGCAAAAGTTAACGAATGCGTTTGATTTGGGGCACCATAACCCTTATTTTCAAAAATCATCAAACTCAAGAGTGTCATGAGAGGTCCCGACATCTTCATTTTCAAGCGGCGCCAACATCAGGGGCAACATAAATTTTGTGCCTACCACATTAACAGAAGTGTTTCACATTTATCTGGGGTTTTGAACTGAGCTAGCCGTCTTAAAAGACCTTTTGGTGCTGTTCATAGCCCTGACCTTCTCAAGACCTAAGGCTCTTTAGTTTGTTTGCTGCACGCGCGCAAAAGTGGGGATATTATTTTGGGGAGTGTTTCAAAGTCATCTCGGCATTTATGACGTCATGATAACGGCATTGAAATCCTGGCATTCCATAAACCACGTGGTGATCAAGGCAGAAAAACTTAATTTTCGAGGCGTTCATATCTGCAGCTCGTGAGCACAACTTCCAGATATAATGGCCCTCAATTAGCTCTCATTCAATGCTGTACAAGGTAAAATGATGTAATCAAACCATGACGCATTGAGGAGCATATTTACTAAACAGAAAATTGTGCTGTCGAGAGTAGTTTTTCCACTTATTTAGCATGCCATTGGTTATGAATGAGCTTGTTTCATCATCTCAGATGCTTGCTTCAATTTTTCAATGGTGGAATATTTCTCGTAACGAATCCCTTCGCCAGCTCATTGCACAAATATACCGAAGCCTTCACTCCTGGCACCGCGTTCTGTATTTTCGATAAAACGCCTAATTCTTTGAAGAAACCACAAAAGGCTCCAAAAGATTTAATCTCTATCAACGGAATCTAGAATGAAATCCATAGAATATTGATGTCAGCAGATTGACAAGATTTCCTTAAAAACCCAAACATTTTCTATTTCCTGTATTTAGCTATGTATGCAATACAGTGGCAATGTCGGAGAATACATTTCCTGTACTCCGTGCAACCGCGCCCAAACTTTCTGTATCCTTTGGAGCATTTATTGGACTTGTCCTGACATAAAAATCGTGCCTATTAGCAGTTGTGGTTCCTAAGAAGCCACTGTCTTTTAGGGGCGCTGTGTGGCGATCCACGGCTGGCACGGGTGTCGGGCGGCAACCCATGATTCCACGGACCGCAAGCGACGTGCCGGCACCGTTACCTTAACTGATCCCTTTATCATAAATAGGTGTAGAAACACGCCTGTTTAAAATCCATACGGGGCATTGCCTCGAACATTAATGCATGTTAAGTTCTAAAAGATGGCTTTAAACGTAACCTAATAGGGTCAGTTATTGGCCTAGTAACGTGCAACTTAATGCCAATCGTGAGATGCTGTGGATGTCCACCCACCGTTCTTTTCGTGAGGCCCTGTCTTTCTTAATTAACGCCAGGGGTGGTATCGACCCCCTCCCCATCAATCCGCGACATGCGACAACGACGAATCAAGGCGAGGGTCAAGCGCTCGCAGCCCGGAGTCAGCGCTCTCCAGGCCGAACGTGCGCCCGCTCCGGTGTCGGACACGCACCCACTCCAATGCTGGACGTGCGGCCTCCCTTTGCCGGACACGCCATCGCTCCTGTGCGGGAAACACGGCCGCCTTAGTCCCGAACGGCTGCTCCTGTGCCGGACATGCGGCCTCTGATGTGCCGGCACAAGACCGGTCCAGTGCCGGACTGGTGGCCTTTCCTGTGCCCGTCGGCTGTTCCTGTGTCGGACACGCAGCTCTCCCCCCCCCCCCCCCCTGTGCCGGACATCTAGCCGCTCCTGTGCCGGACATTCGAGAGCACCATTGATCGAAACAGCATCGCTCCAGTGAGCGGCTCGCCTCTGCTGCAATAAGGTACTCGCGCCGCACGCCCTGCTTAGATGCAGGACATTATAATGGCACAATGCGGGTTGATGCAACACGTGTTTCACGCGTTGTTCCTTTTTACGAGTTCGTGATAGGTGGCAATTAGGTCCCAGGCCGCAGCTGGAACACGTGCTGCACGTGAATATCCCTATGCCAGGGTAGCGGACAAATGCTATGGATGGTTATATGTACGCCGCCCAAATGCTACTTGAAAAATTGCGGTTTTTGGTTTATGTACAGCGCTGAAGTCAACATTGTTCGTAAACACTCAACAAGGCCGTTGCGTAACGAAATAGTCGCAGCGCTCGAAATACTAAATGAGGAACCAATCTCGCAAAGCAGGGTTCGTCACGTGGACAATGACCCGCCATCCATGTAACCCAGGCCATGAAACAGGCTGTCCAGTGTTGGATCTCTGGTTGGTAGCCCTGGATTTGGGAGTAAAGTTTTCCCAGAAGCGTTTTGCAAATGCCAGAAATCTCACCTTTGGGCAATGAAAAAAGTTATGGAATTTCATATCGGACACAGCAGATATAGACATCGGCCATAGCTTCGATATGAAGCAACTCAGCAATTCTCAACTTAAGTAACGCAGTTTGTAACATCAAAAATAATGGAAATTCAAGGGTGCAGTTTCCTATTCAGCTGAGGGGGGGGGGGGGGCTTAAGCCCCAACAACCTGGGCTCCAGCATTCCTGAACTTTGGGAAGAAAGTGGGCCAAATCTGGGGAGAGACCAGTTTTGGGGGAAGGTTGACATTTTTTTCACTCTTCAGCCCTCACCCCAAACTCATTTTTTTGAAACTTCGCCCCCGTTTACAACTGATAGCAAATCAGTAGCGAGTTATTCTTCATGGATGGATTAAGTCACGCAAGAGCTCTTTCTCCAACACTGGCATTTCCACAGTATGTCGTGAGATAGTGCATGGGTTTGATACGTGTCATTATGGTAGTGATACGGCCGCTGACCAGTTACGTCCTCGCCTTTCTCCGCACATGGGAAGTTTTATATTTGAATTTAACCGACGTCTCACTGGCCTCAAGCCCGCTACGCCGACCACGCATGCACTAAAACCTACCTCTTTACCAACGGGACTTTTGGCGTGGCCAACAAATTATGTTTAAGTGCAAATGAAACTTCTGAAACGAAAATAATTATGATGTTTATGACGCACTTGTATGACGCCTCTCCGTCTAGGGGAGGCCGGGGATGGTCATGTCCCCCTTTAGTTCGCTGGTTCTAAGTGGGTATTTAACCACAAAGATATCCCAAGTAACTCAACGGAAACAAGGAAATGTGTAGTTTGACAGAATTTCCCAGTTATTATCACGTTAGCGCAATGCTGCGCACAAAATGAAGGGGAGTGGTGTTTGAATTGTGGTAGCATGCGGTAAGGTATCTACCCACGAACTACTATTGACTGAACTGTCATTGCATACGCACCCCTTCCCCCACCCTGCCCGATTCATCTCCTGGTTTCATGACACTACTTGCAACCCCACGTATAAATATTCCACGTTTTGGTGCATGCCTTCACGGCGCCTACCTACCAAGGCACATACCTGAGTATCTCCCCATCCTTCCCCAGGGCCAGTTACCTTGGTGGTAGAGAAATCGAAAGCAGGTCGTAGAATCTAGGTAAGTAGGGCTAGTGGGATATGGGGTCTAGGCTGGCTGGTGGGCTTCTTTCCAGATCCGTAACCAGGTGCAGCTACGCATGTCTTCACTCGAAGCAATTCGAGCCCCTCGTATCGGTCTACGTATGCATCCATTAGCATGTTCTAAGGACTACTGTGGCCAAAATTTTCGAATTTTTTATGAGCCATTCAAACCTGACAAAGGTATAATACCTTTTGCTCGCTTCCATCCTTTGCAGCCGAAATCTTAACCAGCATTTGTCCGTTGCCAATCGCATAACCCGGACTGGAGTCGTGCCGCCAAAACTGACGCTACCGACAGCTGCTATTTCAAGAACGGCACGTGCCGAGGGCGTCAACGACAGCAATACTTGGCGTGGGTGAAGAGAAATACAAGTTTTTCGTCTTGGCGTATGGACACCTAAAATGTGCTCTGGTCAGCGCCGGCGGCGAGCCGTTAGACAGCCAGGGCGCATTTGACAGGTGTCTGGGAGGACAATGGATGCTGGGATGATCATGTGGGCGGACTACTAGCTACCCACTACCAATGCGTAATGCGTAATTCCCTAATGACACGGTAACCGCACAAACTGGTAGCCCTGAGATCTGCTCCGACTGCATTGCAAACAGAGAAACCACAGTATTTCGCTCCTCGCAATGCCAACAACATTTGCAGTCTAAAGCGGTTTGCATGATCTTGTCGTTGCTGCCAGGTGATGGACTTGATGCGGGCTGTGCGACGCCGGGACTTCGAAACCAGACAGCACTTGCTGTCATTCATCTGCAACCAGAAACAGAACATTAATCATGAAATGCATTGATTTCACTCACATAATCATCAGAGTTACGTACACACCCGCCAGAATATCTACAGGCCGTCACGCTTTTCCTACATGTCCAGTTTGCGTGCCGAATATGTGTTGGTTGAACAACTAACTGATTAGGACTTTCATCTGATGGAATAAAATACCTCTGAAACTCACCTGTGAAACATATAATGAAGGTCTCATAAATGCTATGAAAAACCAGCATCCTGGTGTTCTAGTCCCATGGGCAGCATCAAGAAATCCGTGACCCACAATACCGCCGAGAGGTCCACAGTGAACATAACTCAAAAGTGATGGAAAACATGGGCACAGCCGGGTTTCGTAAGAAGGAAGGGGTGGAGCTCAGTAAAACGCCAAGCTTCTAGTAAATTGTCATGTAAGTAACCACTACATTTCTGAGGGGAGAGGGGGACTGCCCTCTTGAAATGTACGTTGTAACAATACCCTTAACACTGTCAACAGCAAGATAGGCTATCAATCTAACGACTGAGGAACAACCACAGCGTTTGCATGTTCTCAATGTATCAAGTGTCACTGCATGCATACAATTTGACAAAGTGGAGGTGGGCATTGATCTAGTTGCTTTGATCTGGGGTAGCCTTTGCCCTCCCCCCCCCCCCATATTCGCCTGGCATGCGGCTACTTTATGCCATAATGTGAACAGTAGTTACACACATTTGGACAAGGCACTTCAGGGCAGGGACAAATCTGAGGGCAAAGTCTGATGGGTGAGAGAGGCTATCTGGTGCGCCAGGGGGTTACGGGAGGGAGGGAACAACAGTTGTTTGTCATTGAAGCCGATGAAACCATTGTTGCTGCCAAGAAGTGCAGAGGTGGAGGTGGTTGGGCTGGATGGAGGGGAAAGGGGGGTCTAGCACTAAAAAGACTACTAGATTCACAGAAAGAGGGCTAAGCACATAAGGTCCACAAATATGTCATGGCAGTCACAACCAAGGATGCAAATAGTGAATGTCATCTAAGTTGCCTAAGTTCAAGGGACCTGTTTAGACACCTATCCGGTGAAGCATCGTGTTGTTTCCCTTTCCCTTGTCACTAGAAATAACACAAATCCTTCAGGTACTCATTTATTATTTCATATCGCAGGTAACCACTCAAGCATGGGCGAGGAACTGGGCCGGGGGGGGGGGGGGGCAGGGAGAACTGCCGCACAAATAAGACCAACTTTTGACATCAACTGTCCCCTCTCCATCTATCATCTAGACACTGCTACTCCCCGTGACACTGCTAGACACCCCCCGTGCTTTAGTGAGCTACAAGCAGCAAGATGTTGGCATGGGGTTAAGCTGTGATACATCCAGCGATAGCGCGGATATTTATAAATCGAGGCTCGCCTGTAAACGATAGCATGCTGCTGAATCCTGGATAGTATTTCCAGCCAATTTCCTTAACGTCTATGCTTCTGCGTCTTACACGCATGGGATAGAACCGCAGCACTTCTTAAGCATCTCGAAGCATGATGAGCGCCGCAGGTCCTTATAAATAGCCCGTTGTAGCCTGATGTTGGCTTTGCCATTGACGAGGTAGGAACAAAAAGGTACAAGTTAAGGAATGAAGATGCGTGCACCCTAACACAATGCTTCTGAGCCATTGCAATCTAATTGGGTGCATTCTGATAAAAGTAGGTCGGTCTTGTTTCAAAACAACGTAACGATGAGGTGCATTTTGTCATAGGTTCATTTTCTACACTAACTGCGCATTTACCATTGCGCTTCTCGCTGGACGCTTTGTTCATAAAAATCGATGGAGGAAAATCGTTCCTGACGACGGCGGATATTCGTGAAGGAGAATTTTTCGCTCTGAGCTCCATAAAATTCGAAGGAAAATCTGAAAACATCCATACGTTGACGACGCGCGTCAAATTAGAACCAGATTCAGTTTCATCTTTGCGCAGACTATTTTAATGTGCCTGGAAATTGGCTCGAATATAGATCTTAACATCCTGATCCTGGCAAATATGCCATACTGCAGGTCTTAATTCCAATTTGGACCAGCATTTTGATTCTGGTTCCAATTTGACGCGCGTCCCTTGAGCGTATTTTTCCTTATAAAACTGGCTCCTGCACTTCATTTATCTTTGCTCGTGTGATTTGCCGCACTTGAAGTTTACTGCGGCCCGTTCTGAGAGATTTGGCTGCAGGTGACGGTTTAAGCTTTTCTCAATTTTGCCAGTGACAAGACAGTTTTTTCATTCCTGGACATTGCGCTCAGCCCACGTATCGTTCAACGCTAGTTGAACATTTAACAATGTAGGGGATCCATTGGTGGCAAGTATTGCAACGGTTGTTCAGGGCTGACGATCCGCTAGAAGGAACTGCGCTTTCCTAAATGTGAGAATCCACCTACCGGATACCGACTGGCGATGCGCCGCGCCATCTTTTCGATACAAGTGCACAATACGCGGCTAGATGGCGTTTTACTGTCGAGACTAACGCCATTTGGCAGCATGGTGCACACGCGCCTGAACGCAGCAGGAAGTGACCTCATATTCGTTGATCCGATACGCGGGTGACATAAAACATGCAATAGCCCCGATTACCCCTCGGCACGCTAATAGAAGTGCTTAATTTGGGCGCGTTCGGCTGGGAGATAATCTCGGTAAATTATTTGGAATGTTGAAAAAATTCGGATTGGCGTTCAATACTGCCAGGACGGAGAACTATCCCAGAAAATTGTTGGGAATCGAAGAAGAATCACATAAATTTTCAGAGCATGATCTAAAACAAGAAGCATGAGGAGAGACGTATTTGGGAGATAATTTCCGGACATGTCGAACGAAATGTGGAATCTCCATGGGTGATTATCCGAGAGACAACTATTCCTTGAATAATTGACCCTCTTGCGAACGCGCCCTTTATATCGAAATGTTTGCTTCACCCTGCGGTTGTGTGGCGTCACCCATATTTGGACACCTTCAGACATAGACGGCAGGGGTCCGATGGGAGTAGTGCAAGCTGACATGATGCGTGCCGCCTGACTGCACGAGACGGTGTCGCGCGATAGCGCAGAGCAGCTGTCACCATTCGACTGGAAACGAGAACTACAGTACAGTCGCCCAGAACTACAAAATCATCGTTCGCTGGTCGGAGCTGGCGCATACCGCGCCGTCAGTCAGTCACAAAACCGCTTGTGACTCGTTGGAATCCTCCGGCGAGTTGAGATTCGACAGTCCTAAAAGACCCATGTCAAGGCCTAGGTACATATATTTTGCAACGGACAGGTAAAATACACGTCACTGTGATGAATACAGGACTTGTAGCGAAACAGTAAATAATTAATCTCGATGACATACAGCACCCACAAGATATACGCAGTAATATGTCACGTTCAGACGTGAGCCTGAATATCAGTTTAGGTCCCTGGTTTTCACAGGTTCGTTTGATAAAACAAACCCATTGATCCTGGTTGCCACTGATTCTTTTGAAAGAAAGAAAACCTAGATCCTAGCCCCGGCTGGTTCTTTCGAGAAACCAAAACCCTTGATGCTGTCTCCAGCCGGTTCTTTTGACAAATTAAAACCCTGGATCCTGGATACCTCCGATTCTTATGATGACACAAAAACCTAATACTGGTTCTCAGTGACTTACTCGACAAAGAAAGCCCTGGATCCTGGTTTCCTCCTATGGTCTAACTGTTCCAAGTAAGTGGTCCTTCGTGCTTTTTTTTCTTCATAGGTTGAGTGAGAGAAACTTGAAAACCTTATAAGACCTTTGAATTAAAGGAAATTATATTCATTTTAGCTTTCTCTGACATTTCAACCAGTTTTTCAGACACTTTAGATAGATCATGCAAGAATGCCAAGCTGGATACCTTCGTAGCAAGACAACGAAAACAGTCTATATTCGTTGCCAGTGATTGCCTGGGCACGCACTCCTGCCACTGGTGCTGGACTTCTTACCTATTACGCAAAGTAATAAAATGACCATCGTTATTATGGAACGATAGGGCGAGCCTGCCCAAACTACTCACTGAGACTTCTATGCTCGCTACTGTCGTCTTTCTCTGCTGGTGCGACGAAGAAGTGCTTGTGCGGCGTAGATGGTGCGATGCCACCTTCACTATTGGCATCATGGCGTGGCGCAACTACCATCACTCCGCGCATGGCCCCGATGTCGTGGTCTTCCTGATGCTGAACCCATCAGTCAATCATGATTTTCGGCAACGCCGAAAGCAGGTTTTGGTTTATTCCATGTTGTTGACATCGAAAAGCATGCAACACACAAATACAACATACCCTAAAAATAGGGACCATGAGTCAGAGCAGGCCTTGGTCACCATTCGGGCAGCATCGGTTTCAGCCATCCAGACCCTGAAACCGGCTTAGCTCGGCGACCATTCCGCGTCTGTGGGCACACCGCTCCACGGCTCACCTCGGCGGCCATTCCATATCCGTGGGCCCACCGCTCCACGGCTCAGCTCGGCGACCATTCCACATCCGTGGACACACCACTCCACGGCTCAGCTCAGTGACCATTCCACATCGGTGGGCCCACCACTCCACAGCTCAGCTCGGCGACCATTCCACATCCGTGGACACACCACTCCACGGCTCAGCTCGGCGACCATTCCACATCCGTGGACACACCATTCCACGGCTCAGCTCAGTGACCATTCCACATCCGTGGGCCCACCACTCCACAGCTCAGCTCGGCGACCATTCCACATCCGTGGACACACCACTCCACGGCTCAGCTCGGCGACCATTCCACATCCGTGGACACACCGCTCCACGGCTCACCTCGGCGACCATTTCACGTCTGTGGGCACACCGCTCCACAGCTCAGCTCGGCGACCATTCCACATCCGTGGGCACAGCCACTCCACGGCTCAGCTCGGCGACCATTCCACATCTGTGGACACACCGCTCCACGCCCGTGTCACGCGACTCATAGATGAGCGCCGATCGAACTCTGCAAGCAGGCGTGGGATATGGCGGTGGCGGTCTACAGTTGTCTCTGTGCAAGGGCGTGATACATCAGAACAGCTGGTGACCAGCCGACGAAGCCACCCGAGGAGCCATTGACATGCGCTAGTTTATACATGGCTCGTTGCTCACGCTCCACGGCAGGTCTTCCACGCAGATTATTTGAGCTCGGCCAGCGTCGTGGTTACACTATTCGCTGTAGCGAATGTCCGCGACAATGCAGGCATCGCCGTGTATGCATTTATTCGCTACTCTCAGCTGTGTAATCAAGCAGCCTCCGCAAAGGGAAATGCAATGTTTGATGTGGGGAATACCGAGTTCGGGTAAACTGCTGCAGGCACCTCTGCGCTCACCCGTTGTTTTCTGTGACGTCACGCTGTGTTTGGAATGTCGGCCGAGAGTCTGCACGCAATGCCCTTGAGAAAGGGGTGAGGAGGGGTGGGTAGCTCGTACTAAGGCATGGATTGCCTTGGATGTCGTTTTTAGCTGTGCTGGGCACGGCGCCGGTGTCGCCACCTGGGACGCCTGGCTTGAGGACAGGCCACCCTCTAGCCGGGTTCACTTGGGGTGCCCGGCGTCGTCGACATTTGCTGCTAAAGCGGTGCACGCCTCCCCCCGCCACCAAATCGTGCGATTTATGTGTTTGACAAAGACGATAAAATGCTGAAGATCTTTTAAATGGAGCGCTCGTCGTTCACGCCGCTTCAGGAGCTGCATCGCGATGGATGGCGAGGGGCTGTTTAAAAAGCACATCGTGGTGGGCTGGGACAGAGGAAGACCGAGACGCAGCGACATCTGTTCCTCACTGCTCTCCGTTAATAGCAGCTACAGGCCGGCCGCCGGCCGTACTCTGACACATGAACCGACCAGCGTGTGCGTGAGTCGGTAGGGGGGGGGGGGGGAGGGGGCAGCGACCACCCTGGAACGCGTGGTCCGGGCTCTGTATGGAAGGCTGCTGAGGTCACAGCGCGAGTCGCCTCCCGACGGTGCACCTGAAGCCTGCTTTGGAAACAGCGAGCACCAAACAATGATGATTTGTGTCGTGCGTCGTTCACGCATGGTCATCACCTCGGAAACTCTTCTCAGCGCGTGTTCCAGGAGACCCTTTTCTGGAGGCGGTAGAGACTTTCGCGCCTTGCGCCAGCACCGACAACCCTGGCGCACATGTCAAGTGTAATCTTGTACGCTACCTGGCCCATTGTGCTGCGCATGTTACCGAGACTTGGAGGGCTCTACCTGGGGACTTCTAGTTTCAGAAATGTAATTTGTAACACAAAACTAAAGGCGAGACAAGGCAGATCCGGTAGAGTTGGTCGGACACCGATTGTCTGTATTTTAGCCGATGACGCCTTCTGCGCGGTCATCACCGAGCCAAGTCGCGATCACCTCTGACGCGTGGGAAGTCATCACATCACGCTTGAACCATATATTCTCCCTTTTGCCATCAAATTTGTGTTGCACCTAGATGCGTTCCATTATGGCGACGTATCGCTCACTACTGGCCGTGGCTGCAGACCCGGCCGCACACTGGAAGAGCAATGGCCCGCAGTGTGGCCGCGGGAGCTCATGGTGCACCACGCTGTCATTTCCGGCTGTGCCACGGACTCTCCATCACGGTGTCTGGCAGCTCTAAGGCTCGAATCCGGCATTTTTGGGATGTTTTTGCAAAATCAAGGTGGTAGGGTACTTCGTCCCTGAACCAGATGCTGCTGGAAGCCTAGGATCGTCGCCAGCTTTCGTCTTCAGTCATGTGTCAAATAGCATCCGTTATTTTTACCAGTTTCTACCAGCTCTCGGTGGATACTCACTTCGTTCGGAGAATGATCAAGTGCTCTGGAAGTTTTGCTGGGTTAAAAGTAACGACGAGCAGACAAATGTCCAATCGCTTTATGTCCGCGAAGATCCTCATCTCTATCCTTGAAGCGTCTGCCGACGGCGTGCACCTAGAGACTCAGTCTCTCCTCCCTCGGGTCTCAGTCCTGGGCGAATGTCCTCCCCAGCCATCAGTTTTATTTTCGGTGCAAAAGTCGTGCGCTTGGTTGGCTTACAGTCACGATGTTCACAGCTTTTCCACAGAATGGGATAGTTTAAAAAAGTGTTCAGTTTGTGTGTGGTTTTGAGTTTTGACGACAAGGGATCCATTAGCGGGTGTTACGACCCCGAACTAACATGTAGTTCTAATAGTCTGCACTTGCTTGGACGTTGAAAACACTGTCAATCTTCCTAAGGGCACTCGTGCTGCAGCTGTATTACAGACCATGAAACGAGAGGATTAAGAGTGGACTCACAGGCATTGCCGGAAAATGTGGAAGAGAAAGTAGGAGAGTTCAACGACCGCCGAACAGAACCAGCAAGGGGGCCAGATACAAGCAGGGGTCGGTGGCGGTATCAGAAGTGGCAACGCCAGTTCCCAAGGTGCTCTCGTTCATGAGAAAATTGCCTGTTTGCGTGA